AGTGGAGCCCAGGGTACATAGCTGGGGGAGGTGTGCACACGGTGGGGTCGCTGGCAATTTAGTGGTGTGTGTGGAAGCAATGGGGTGGCAGCATAGCCACCCAAATGCTTCCACCTGTCCGCATCAGGGCTAAATATTTAAATTAAAAAAACAAAAAAAAAAACCTGCCTGGCATCACATGTCCCAGGTGTGGGGCGATATAAATAGCACATCCCTGTATATGTACTGTCCTGGCATTTTAACAGCCTGAGGCTGCACAAGGCACACTTCTGAGCCGTTTATGTGCAGTGGCCGGGTGGGAGCTTTCCCGTTCTAAATGAACATTCCTGAATGTCCTCTCAGAACGTGCGCCTCGCATGGCCTCAGGGCCACGCAGCAGTGCAATCCTGTGATGGCGGTGTCCCTCAAACACAGCACATCACAGATTTGGACATGGGCACTATGATTGACCCTCCTGATCCTGTGATGGCAGTGTCCAATCACAGCCATTACTCAGTGTAAACAGAGACATGTGTCTGTGTCAGAGCTTCCTGTTGAGCTCAGTGTGGGGAGAGCGGGATGCTGCAGCCTATTACAGCTCTCTGCATAGCTGATGATGTTAGTGTCCAGCTATGCAGAGAATACAGCTTACAGCCATCCCTACACAGTACACCAAACACCATCTGTCCCTGTGTCAGTGTCACATCAACATCTGTGCCAGTGTCCCAGTGCACAAAACATCTGTCATAGTATACCAGTGTCCAATAAACATCTGTCACAGTATACCACTGCAACATCTGTCGGTGTCCACCGGTGGCCGATCATCACCTGTCACAGAGTGCAAGTTCACAAAAACATCTGTCAGTGTACCACCAGTAAATAATATAAAAAAAAATAAAAAATAAAGCACCCCCGTACTCACAAAGGCAAACACGTGTTGGTCCCGTACGCATATGTAAACGGCGATCGTATCACGCGTGAGGTATCAGACTTTCTCTGTAACTAAACTGGTAACCTGTAAAAGCTTATAAGGCATTGTCTATGAAGATTTTTAAATGCTGAAGTTTGGCACCATTTCAGAATCGTGCACAATTTAAACCGTGACATGTTTTGTATGTATTTACTCAGCGCAACACCAAATTTTATATTTTTTACAAAAATTGCGTATTATATTGTGTTGCATTAAAATATATTCAAGTGTATTTTTGCAGTAGTGTGTAAAATTGCGTTGAAAAAAACCCGCTGCGCAAATACCATGTGACATAAAATTTGCAAAACCCACCATTTTATTTTCTAGGGCCTCTGATAAAAATATATAATGTTTGGGGGTTCTAAGTTCTAGCAAAAATACTGATTTTTCACTTGTAAACAAAGTGTCAGAAGGAGGCCTGGTCTTAAAGTGAATCTTCTTGGATGTTGGGCCTCTCTAAATGGCTAGACTGTGAAAAAGTCTCATACATGTGGTATCGCCATACTCCGGAGGAGTAGCAGAATGTGTTTTGGGGTGTAGTTGCAAGTATGCCTATGCCATGTTTGAGAATTAACTTGTTAACCACTTCAATACCGGGCACTCTTACCCCCTTCCTGCCCAGGCCAATTTTCGCACTTTGAAAGACAATTGCGCGGTCATGTAACACTGTATCCTTATGAAATTTGTATCATTTTTTTCACACAAATAGAGCTTTCTTTTGGTAGTATTTACTCACCACTGAGTATTTTTATTTTTTGCTAAATAAAACAAACATCTGAAACTTTTGAAAAAAAACACACTTTTCTTCATTTCTGTTATAAAATTTTGCAAATAAATAACATTTCTTCATAAATTTAGGTCAAAATGTATTCTGCTACATTTCTTTGGTGAAAATAATAATAATTGAGTTTTATTTTTTTTCAAATGTTTCTATTTTTTTGTTTTTTTTACTATTTTATTTTTCAGCACACTGTGACCAAAGCAATACAATGTTACCATAGTAACATTGAACTACTTTGGGCAAGTGATCAGGATTTTTTTTTTTCTAACACTTTATGATTGCTAATACCAATGTATTTCATTGATATTTGCAATCATTGTTACTGAATGAAACTGATTCATTCAGTTTTTTGTTGTGATTAGCTGTGATTGGGCAAAGCTGATCACATGATACAGATGGGCTGTGATTGTCCCTGTCTGTATCATGTAACTGCCTTGACCAGTCACAGCTAACAACATAATTGTATACAATGGATGGCATGAAAGGAAGCCATCCATTGTATACAATTGACATGTGATCTGCTGTGATTGGTCACAGCGGTCACATGACACTGGCAACGGGTCAGTGTAGTGATATGCCATCGGCTGTGTCCCGTGTCTCAAAAAATAATTTCATATGAGCAGTGTTGCATGACTGAGTAATTACAGTTAGGTCCATATATATTTGGACACAGGCACAATTTTAATTTTTTTTTCAGGTATTTACCAAAACATCTTCAAGCTATAGTTATTTAATGGATATGGGCTGTAGCAAGGTTTAGGAATTACAGCTCTTAAGAGTAGCCATCCCCCCTTTTTCAGGGGCTCAGATGCAATTGGACAATTGAATCAAAAGATGTTTCATGGCCAGGTGTGGTCTGCTCCTTCATTATTTCTTAATCAATTAAGCAGGGAAAAGGTCTGGAGTTGATTTGCATTTCTATGGTATTTGCATTTTGAATCTATTGCTGTGAACCTACATCATGGGAGCTGTCCATGCAAGTGAAACAGGCCATTGTAAGGCTTTAAAAACAAAACAAATCCATCTGAGAGATAGCAGCAACATTAGTAGTGGCCAAATCAACAGTTTGGTAGATTCTGAGGAAAGAAGAATGCACTGGTGAGCTCAGCAACATAAAAAGGCATGGACGTCCTTGGAAGACAACAGTGGTGGATAATCGCAGGATCCTCTCTATGGTAAATAAAAACCCATTCACAACATCCAGACGAGTGAAGGATACTCTCCAGGAGGTGGGCATATCATTGTCAAAGTCTACAATCAAGAGAAGACTTCACGAGAGCAAATACCAAGTGTTCACCACAAGGTGCAAACCATTCCTAAGCCTGAAGAATAGAAAAGCCAGATTAGACTTTGCCAATGAACTTCTAAAAAAGCCAGACCAGGTGTTTTAAAGTGGCAGTTCAGTCCATCGTATTTCTATGAGCCCCCAGGTGGGTTATGACATAATGTTCTAGTATATACTGCATATTTGTGCATTATGGCAAACTTACCTGTCACCGGCACTGTGGTGTGATCAGTCTGGCGGGCTCTGGGCACTTCCATCTCCGCCTGGTCTTCTTTCCGTGTTCTGTGCCTTTGGCCGGGCCACGATGATGTCACTGCCGTGCATCGGTGCGGGACTCTCATCGCCTCAACACAGATCTGGGGCTGTAAATGTGCGCTGAGATGTGCGTATGATGCCTGGCAGGCAGGAGGGAGCATTTATGACGATAGGGTCTCTTCTGTCATAAATACCCTGTCTGTCGGGGATTTTTTAAAAAAAAAAAATGTGAGTTTACACTTTAAAGTGGTAATAAACTTTTTATTTAACTTTTACCTACAGGTAAGCTTATAATAAAGCTTACCTGTAGGTGAAATGCCCTTTTTGAGAACCGGCACATGCACTCTGAAGGAACAACATACCTGTGCTGTTCCTGCAGAGTACTGTGCCGTGGCCCAGGACTCCCGCGCAGGAGTAACGTCATTGTGGGTCTAGACGGCCAGGGCCTGTGAACCTGGATGGAAGCCTCTGCGGCAGTGACACCGCTGGAGGGCTTCATTTTAAGGTGAGTCCTTCAGAATGTGCTAGTATGCGATGCATACTAGCACATTATGACATTACCTTGCAGGGGATCTTTTTATTTATTTTTTTGCCTGCGGTTTAATACCGCTTTAAGAGCCTCAAGAAATGAGAGAGGCCGTCAGTACATCAGAATTAATCAATTTTCACATGTATAGACTAGTTTGTACACACTACCTTGCATACAAACCAATTAACATATTACTTATTGGGATTTTTTTTTACTGTAGCAGTAAAAAGACCTGTAGCAGAACAAATGTTGGCCTAAATTAATTGGATATGTTTTATAATAGAAAGTAGAATATATATATATATATATATTAAAAAATGCTGTCTTTTTTTAGTTTGTATAATAACTAGAAAATACCAGCATAAGAAAGCTCTATTTGTGTGAAAAAAAATTATGTAAATTTTATTTGGGTATAGTGTTGCATGACCGTGTAATTGCCAGTTAAAGTAGCACAGTTCTGAATAGCAAAAGCTGCCCTGGTCATGAAGGGGGTAATAAACCTTCCAGAGGTCAAGTAGTTAAGTCCAGTGTGCATGAGACCTAAAGCAGAACTAAAATTCTGCTATTACATACTGTGAGCAGGCACAGTTTTTATGGCAGGGTTTTTATTGCAGATGAAACATGCAAGATCTCTTCTACAATAAACAACACCTACCTGCCAGCTCACACCGATGCTCAGACTGTAAACTGAGCTGCACATGCGTAGCTCAGCTTACAGCAGCCGGCCCATTCCCTGTGTGCTGGAATGAGAAGCTTATGCACAAAAGTGACATCCTCCTGCGCTGGCCAAAAATGATCACACAGGAGAAGATGCCGACTTAATAGAGGGACTATTGGAAAGGTGAATAGCAAACCTTAGTCCTGCTTTACAGCTGCATTCACGCTACAGCGTTTTGTGAAAACATGTAAAGTCATGTGATTCTGTACATGGATTTACATGCAAAAATTTTGTGTGTCACTTTTGGTGCCATTTTATTGATAATGGTACCCCAAGGGCAGCAAGCAGAGGCACGGCTTTTGTGTGAAGCTTAGAAAAGTGTAAAAGCATCTTTACAGCACATAGGTCAGATCATTGAAATTTAACTACCTCCCACCCGCCATATAGTAATATGACGGGCGTAAGGTGGTTCTCTCGTTCTGAGAGGACGTCATATGACGTCCTCCCATTCTCACTGCGCATGCGCGGCTCAGGGAGCGCGCGGCGATCGGCGGTGCGCGCTGTGTCCCTCGGACACAGCGGATCACCAATCACGGAAAGAGCCGAAGATGTCGGCTCAGTCATGTGATCAACTGTGTCCAATCACAGCTGATCACATGTAAACAGGGAAATGCTGGTTATCGGCATTTCTCTCCTCTTGAGCTGTCGCGCTGATGGCTCGAGAGGAGAGCCGGTTATCGGCTTTCCGCGGAGGGGACATGTACACTGATAACAGGGCACTGATGAACAGTGTGCCCTGATGATCAGTGTAGCCCCAGCAGTGTCACCTGTCAGTGTCCATCAATGCCATATATCAGTGCCCATCAGTGCCACATATCATTGCCTACCAGTGCACATCAATGCCACATATCAGTGCCCATCTGAGCTGCCTTTCAGTGTCACCCATCAGTGCCACCTATCAATGCCAATCAGTACCACCTATCAGTGCCAGTCAGTGTCATATATCAGTGCCATGTATCAGTGCTGCCTTTCAGTGCCCATCAGTGATGCCTGTCAATGCCCATGAGTGCCACCTATACAGTGTCCATCAGTGCAGCCTATCAGTGCCCATCGGTGCAGCCTCATTAGCGCACATCAGTAAAGGAGAAAAATCACTTATTTACAAAATTTTATTACAAAAACCAAAAAAAAACTTTTTTTTTTCACAATTTTCAGTGGTTTTTGGTTCGTTTAGGAAAAAATTTAAAAACCCAGAGGTTATTAAATACCACCAAAATAAAGCCCTGTCACAAAAAAATGATAAAAATGTCATATGGGTACAGTGTTGTTTGACCACGCATATGTCATTCAAAGTGCAACAGCGCTGAAAGCTGGAAATTGGCCTGGCCAGGACGGGGGTATAAGTGCCCTGTAGGCTAGTGGTTAAATGAAACGCCTGGCTTTGTGTGTCATAGTGTGAATGGGGCATTAAAGTGGAACTTCACTCTCTCAATCAACATTAACTATTTTTTCACTTTTTTTTTTTTTTTTGTATTTCAAAATTGACATTGACTATTTTTAATCCTTATGATGCTAGCATCAGTAAAGAGAAAGGAAGGTATATCATATTTACTTGTATTAGGACCAGTTCACACTATAGAAACGCAGTTCAGATGCGTTCTGAATACATTTTTGCATGTGCATTCTGGTGTGTTTTTGACGCGTTCCAGTGCGTTTTATTTTATTGGTTCCAGTTAACTTTTAGCCCTCTTTTTCTTCAATTTAAATAGGGACATGTGTGTCCCATTGCGTTTTTACCATGTTCCAGTACAGTTCTTTGCAGGAAAAATGCAGCCTGTTCTACTCTTCTTTTTCTCAAAAACGTTTTCCAGGACAGCCCCTTGAGAAGTAGAGCCCCTCCATCGGACAGGAAACACGTAAGCCCAGAACATTAAAAGGTGGATCTCCAGGCCTTCCTCTTCAGTTTTAGTGTTTCATCTGTAAGGATAGGTTGCACATTCAGAAACCTGTGTAGGAGCCCTAGGCTCAAGAGCAGTGCTGGTGGCTCCTGGTTTGGTAAGTTACCTCCTCCTTGCCCAGCACGATCCCTCCATTAGGCAATAGGAGTGGGGTTGCGCTTCTGTTGCTTTCCAGTCCTCAGAGGAGGAAAACCACTGATGGTGTCCAGCTGCACCGCCAAGGGATCCTGGCCAGCTTGGCATCCTCCGGCGGGCAAGCGGCCGCAATTTCCGGAAGGCAGAGCGGCTACGCTCCAAGCTTGTTGGCCAGAACTTCCGACCAGAGTAATATCATCAGTGGGCGCCGGAGACTCGTAGTTCCAGTCTCCACAGCGGTGCAGGCAACAGTGTTCTTGGGTGGCTGGTGATGTGTGAGGAAAACTCAGCAGAGGCTGTGGCTATCACACCACAGGAACAGAATGTAGGGTGCTGGCCCCCCTCCTAGCAGGCGGACCCTGGTTCCTCTGGCACCGGCTCCTATCAGGTAGGCTTGGGAATTGGTATTCTCCTTCTTGCTGAATCCTGGGGTAGTTTTTTTTTCTCCCAGTCGCTGAGGTGATGGTGGGGCTCACTTCTGTGTTTTTTTTTTTTTTTTTTTCTTTTCTTCCCCCAACACAGTGGTGTCTGGAATGTAGGAGCCCAGGCTTATTATGCTCTGTATTGTGTTTTGGCTTGTTGTAGGTTAAAACACAGAATCAGGCCCCCAAAAGGAAGTGGGCAGTTTGTGCAGCCAAGTTGGGTTGAGCTTGGGAAAAGCCCTTATGCCGCAATCGTGTGGATAGTCTGATTAAGGATGAGTCATTTGCAACCTGCCATATAGTTCTCCCTTCCATTAAGGATGATATGGCAACTACGTTTGTCATTTAGATCCTTGCTGGATAGGATGCAAACACCTCCTGAGGCCTTGGACCCAGTCTGCAGGTACTACTCCAGTATCGGAGACATTGAGCCAGGGGCAGGAAGACCCGGAGGAAGATCCCAGGTCCCTTGCTTCCTCGCAGGCTGGGTCTGGCTCAGACTCAGAGGAGGACGATAGAAAAGGTTGCTCCTGTAAGGGTTCTAGATACAAATTGACCCTTGATGATGTAGATGACTTCCTTTGAAGTGATCTATGAAACCTTAGAGATTGAGGAGGATGTACATTTGTCTAAGCATGACCTCATGTACCAAGGTCTACATGCAAAAAAAAGACTAGGGTTTTTCAGTTCATAGTTCCCTGCTTGATGCCATCAAGCTGGAGTGGGAGACCCCTGAAAGACAGCACTTTTTTTTCGGATAGTCTTAAAAGGAGGTTTCCTTTTGAAGAAGATGGATCCCAGCCATGAAACAAGGTTCCAAAGCTGGACGCCCCCTAATCTAAGATCTCTAAGAAGATGGAGGAAATTTTGCTCTGGAGAGCTCCTGGGATTCTACCTCCATCAGCTTTACGCCGGCTTTATTTGCCACATGTGCCGTCAGAAATCTTGAGTGCTAGCTTACTCAGTTTCAGACGCATCTCTCGGCAGGGACTTCCAGGCAACAGATATTGAAATCTTTCTATTTGCTGTACAGAGCAGTAGGTTTCCTCGTAGATGACTTGGCCAAATCAGTCAAACTAGCCGCAAGAACGTCTGCCCTGGTAAATTCGGCAAAGAGGGTATTGTGGTTGAAGACCTGGCAGGGGATTCAGCGTCCAAGCTGTGCCTCTGTGCCTTACCCTTTTCATGCGATAACCTTTTGGTCCATGCCTCCAGGAGGCCTTGGAGCATACAGTTGATAAAAAGAGGGCATTTTCGGAGAGTAAAAAGAAATATTGCTCCAGGAGGTTTTTTTGTCAGAAAACTCTGTCAGCAAAACAAGGATGTCCAACCTAAGAAACATTGGACAGGGTGCAAAAACAAGGGTAAGGGGGGGGGGTCTTATTTAATCCTCCTCAGGGCCTCATCAAGTCTCAATGACTTGAGCATCCCAGTGGGAAGAAGACTGGGGAACTTTCTCCCTCAGTGGGGGAGACCTTGTGGATCAACAAGTCTTTACTCAGGTTCCCTGGAACGAGCAAGGGATGGGATATTATTAATATGTTTTTGTAGTGAAAAATCCATTAGTCTCAAAGGTACAAACACTTCAAGATGGAATCGATCTTCTGTGTAAGAAACATCCTGTAGCCAGATTGTTTCATGGCCATGCTAGACCTGAGGGATGCATATCTTCACATCCCCATACAGCATGCGTGTCAGAAATACCTAAGCTGCCAGTGGTGGATCTCTGTGCCGATTTTGACAGAGTCAGGCTCTACCTTTCTGTCTGGCCTCAGCACCAAAACTTTTTAAAATAGTGCTGGCAGAGACCTTAGCCCCTCCTAAGGATGAAGTCTATTACAGGTGTACCTCGGTTTATGAACGCCTCAGTTAACGTAATTTTCGGTGTACGAACGAAAATCCATTGAAAATAATGCCTCGGTTTACTATTTTTTTTACAAATTTTTTTCGCAATACGAAGTGTATGTCGGTGCCGATTTTTAAATGCAATTGCCAGCTTTTTTTTTTTTTTTTCTTCACTATAGCTCACAGAATTTAAGAAACTAAAAGTAAACATTGTTTTTTTTTTATTATAACTAGGGAAATAAACTAAAAGGAAACTTTCTTTCTTTTATCTGGCGGGAAAGTGACAGCTGAATCTCTGAGCTATAGTGAAGAAAAAAAAGCTAATTACATTTAAAAACTGGAACCATAATAAATAAAACAACATTGTGAGGTCCCCTCTCCATTCATACCAAGCCCTCTGGGTCTGGTATGGGTTTTGAGGGGAAACCCCCACACCGAAATGTAAAAAAAATGGAACCCCCCCCAGATCCATACCAGACCCTTAAACGAGCATGCAGCCTGGCAGGTCAGGAAAGGGGGGGGGGGATGAGCGAGCCCCCCCCCCCCAACCATATTAGGCCACATGCCCTCAACATGGGGGGGGGGGTTCCCCTCAGAACCCATACCAGACCTGAAGGGCATGGTATAAATGGAGGTGGGACTCCACGACGTTTTAATTTTGCCGTGGAGGTTCCCCTCAAAATCCATACCAGACCCAAAGGGCTTGTAATGGATGGGGGGGGACCCCATGCCGTTTTTTAAATTATTTTTTTCATTGCTGGCAAATCTTTCTTTTACATTCAGCTGTCAGTGGGGAACCCTGCTGACAGCTGAAACATTAACACAGGGTTGTCGCTACAAAAATATTGCATGACTTGATAAAATAACTCGTGGTATTTTAGTATCGCTTACTTTTTTTCTGACCTCTGGAACAGATTTATTGGTTTTCAGTGCATTCCTATGGGAAACGGTGTTTCGGTTTAAGAATTTTTTGCTATACGCAGAACGAATTAAATTCGTAAATTGAGGTATGCCTATACAATCATTCCTTATCTGGACTATCTGCTCTTCATGGCCAGTTCTTACCGTTGGTAGAGGATCTGTGGGTTGCTCAGGACTTCCTTCAGAGTCTGGGGGGTGGCTCATCAACAGAGACAAGTCTGGTTTGACTCCCTCCAGAAAGTTTCCTAGCTGGGGTGTGAGATTTCCCTGGTAGAAAGGAAGATCTTCCTTCCACAGGAAAAATTTCTCAAGATAGACCAGGCGCTAGCAGGGCTGCAGAACAATCTGGTTGTTTCAATAAGGGACGTCATGAAGGCGGTGGGTTTTATGACATCTTGCTTCCCGGCTGTTCCCTGGTTTCCACCAACGCTCACTGTAGTCTTTTCTTCTGAGGGTTTGGAACAGGGACAGGACTGCATGGATCTTCCAGTCCAGCTCCCTTCCAGGATCAAAAGATCCCTTTTAGTGGTGGTGAATGCAGTACAATCTTGGCAGGGGTCTGGAGTGGACCACACGGAATCCAGTAATCGTCACGGCCCGATGCCAGCAGGTTTGGATGGGGAGCCCATCTAGGCAGCAGAATGACCCAGGGGTCATGGTCCTTGGGGGGGGGGAAACGCGGAGGTCCTCAAATCAGAGGGATCTTCTGGTAGTCCAGCAAGCGCTGGATGCCTTTCGGGCAGATGTAATAGACCGTCACCTGCAGATCTGTTCAGACAATGTGACTGGTGGCATACAACAAGCAAGGGGGTACAAGAAGTCTTCCTCTCCAAGCAATCACAGGCAGCATACTGTCTTGGGTCAGACAAAATTTGTGTTCGCTATATGCCATCC